CTCTGTCCATTTTTAAAAATCAGATTTATTTTTTTTTGCTACTGAAGTATGTGAGTTTTTATCTATTTTGAATATTGACCCGTTATCAAATATATGGCTTGCAAATATTTTCTCCCATTCCATAGTTGCCTTTTCACTTTGTTTCTTTGCTGTGCAGAAGTATTTTAGTTTGACGTAGTCTCCCTCATTAATTTTTGCTTTTGGTATGAAATTTCCTAGGAGGAAGAGAAGGAAGAGGGCCTGTAGAGAAGCAGGAACAACAAGGACAAAAAGATGGCAAGAAAAATTCTATTGTGAAGATATGGCTGACAGGATTTGGAAACTGAATGTTGAATGAAATGAATTACTGATGGTCCTCAAAACAAAAGCAAGTGAAAACTAATACTTTGATGATTCAAACAGATCTGGAACTTCCTTTCTACGTATTCTCCTATGCTCTGGAACAACTGGATCCAGAGGAATTACAGTGCCTGGAAACAGGATACAAAGTAGTTTCACTCCCAAGTGCCACACAAGAATGTGAACAGTAGATGGCACTTTTGTGTTATCCCTAAATTTTCAACCTTTGAAGGGAACTAACCTAAGAAAGACTCCTGTTAACATAAAAACAAACTTTTATGGTGCTCAAGTGGATACATTTGATTTCTAATTTGAGGGGAAAATTAGGAAAAGGAGAGCTAATTAAAGGATCTGTTTGTCTTAGGTAGTACCTTGCCTCCAATGCTATCTTGTGGATTTCCAAATAGTGTGAAATATTGTGGCTTTCTTCCAGATTAATACATTTGCAATTTGGAGTGGTTCCAAGTTACCGTAGCAAGTGGAATTACGTGAATTCAAGCAGGCTTGAGGTGAGGGGAAAAAAAATAGCCCCAACTTTAGCCTTGTTTCCAAATCTCTGTTTCTGGGCTTTTGCAGTTTGCAAAGGTGAGAAATAACAAACAAAAACACAGTCAAATCAAATATGGAAAAGAACCATGGGAGGAGCAGTTTGGACTACTGAGAGAATAGTGAAATGGAAACAAAGATGCTCTTTTTTTTTTTTTTTTTTTTAATTTACTGTTAGGCTAGGACACAGAATTTTACATGTTTACAATATGCCTGCCATCATGCAAAAGGCATCATGATGTAACTATGTACTTGGGGCAGGTAATTTCATATCTCTGCATATCAATTTCATCATAAAGAAACATGGTAATAGGAATGCCTGGATGGCTCAGTTGGTTAAGCTGCTGCCTTTGGCTCAGGTCATGATCCCAGGGTCCTGTGATCGAGTCCTGCATCGGGCTCCTTGCTCAGTGGGGAGTCTGCTTCTCTCTCTGCCACTCTGCCTGTGTTTGCTCTCTCTCTCTGACAAATAAATAATAAAATAATTTTTTAAAAAAAGAAACATGGTAATAATATTATTCTTGTGAGGACTATGTCAAATTTTGTAAGTAACTTAGAGGAGTACTGAGCATGTACCGAGCACACCAAAGGTAGAGGCAAAAAAGTTTTTAAAGCCAACTTTTAGGTGATGGGCCAGTAGGTGATAATTTCCCTTCTATTCAGTAAAGAACATGTATTTTTTGATAAGTAGAAAGTTTAAAATCTTTAACTAAAAGACTTAGAGAAAAATCTGTATTTAAAAACTTCTCTTTTCTTCTGAACTAGTTTCTACATCCATCCTTTTCCTTTTTCTTAATCTGCTATACCCATGATCAGACATATCCTGACTATGAGAAATCCAGAGGTCTTGGTCATTCTTCAGAGTTTCCAGAATTATTATTTTTGATTGTAGTCAAATATATATAACACCAAATTTACCGCTTTATTCTTAAGTGTACAAGTCACTGCCATGACATACATTCACAATGTTTTCCATCATCCCTAGTACCTATCTCCAGAACGTCATCATCTCAAACAGTAACTCTGCACCCATTAAACAATAATTCTCTATTCTCCCTTGCCCTCACCAGCTCTGGTAGCCTCCATTCTACTTTCTGTCTCTATGAATCCAACTATTTGAGGTACCTCCTATACATGGGATCATGCAATATATGCACATTTGTGTCTGGCTTATTCACTTAGCACATTGTTTTCAAATTTCACTCATGTTGTAGTATGTATCAGAAATTTATTCCTTTTTATGACCAAATAACAGTCATTGTTATGTACTTATCACATTTTATTTGTAGATTCACCTGTTAGACATATGAGTTCTTCCCACTTTTTGACTGTTATGAATAATGCTGCTATGAACTTAGATGTACAAGTATCTGTTCTAGTCCCTGCTTTCAACACTTTTCTTTAAAAACCTAGGAGTTAACTTACTGAGGAACTGCCCAACTGTTTTCCACAGAGCTACAGCATTTTACATTCAAACCAGCATCCAGGATTATTTTTAAGAATGCCTTCAAGTCAAACTGAAATACTGAATCTAAAGTTATTTCCTAGGGGCACCTGGGTGGCTCAGTGGGTTTAAAGCCTCTGCTTTCGGCCCAGGTCATGGTCTCAGGGTCCTGGGATCGAGCCCCACATCGCATCGGGCTCTCTGCTCAGCAGGGATCCTGCTTCCTCATCTCTCTCTCTCTCTGCCTGCCTCTCTGCCTACTTGTGATCTCTGTCAAATAAATAAATAAAATTAAAAAAAAAAAAAGTTATTTCCTAGCTGCTTAGTTGCTATGTACAGTATTTACTAAAACTAAATTCTATCACTAGGTAACCAGAGCACATATAATTAAGAGATGCAGTACACCTTTCATCTATATCGAACATGCATCTTGCCAGGTGTGGTCCATTGTGTCATTTTTTGTTGCCAATAATGTTTATCTTATATGTAGTTTTCAGCTGAGTCCTTCCTGCTTTGAGGGAGGGTTAAAAAGGATACAGATTTAGAATTTGAAAATGTGACTCTGGGATCTTTGACAATTATACGTAAAATATCTAGGAATGAGGTTTATAACTTGTAAACCTTGGTAACATTTTGTCACTCTATCGACCTCATAGTGTTGCCGAAGTGCAGATACAATGTGTAAGAAAGCCTGCTGTACGAGGGCGATAGTTACAATGTGTCCTAATAATTTAAACAAGACAACAGGTTTCTTTCTAAGGGTTCCAACAGACTTTCAACATGCTGCCCTGTGAGTCTGGGGCTCTAAAGCAAACGGTAATGAGCAGAGCATAGAAACCCATTAACAGAAAAACATTAAGTGGATGCATAACATTCCTTCTTCATTCAAGTTTATCCAGCATCCATATTGTGTCAAAAGCAGTGATTAAATAAGTTAAAGTAAAATTTTATTAAATTTATTAAGTTAATTAATTATTAATAATTAATAATTAAATAGGTTAAAATAAAATAAGTCCTTCAGAGGCTTAGTTCATGTGTGAATATTAATAATACTAATAATATCGAGCTGCCCAACTTCAGATCCATACCCCCTTACCCGGTCTCATTAAGCAGTTGCGGACCCTCTTCAAATTCGTGGGCGCTGTCTCTTTAACGTGCAGCAGAACTCCGATTGCATCGATCACAGACTCGTCATGCTTCCTCCCCTCGGTCTCATTTCCATCCCGGTGACTGCTGTACTTCACAGTTTCAAGCAGAGGAGAGAGCGTGCGTTAGTTAAACTTTGGGTCTCGTGGGTGGTCACACCTGACCCCGGAGCGCCCCGCTTGCCAGCCCGCGGCGGCCCTGCTTCTGGCTGCGCCGGCGACACCTCGGGGTTCGACTGGCCACGCCTGGAGCGCGGGGTTTGACTGGGCCGCCGTTGTTGTAGTGACCGGGAGGCGCCGCCGCTCTGGGCAGACAGTTCCGGGCGCCGCACGGTCCCCCCTCCTACCCCATCCCCTCCCTTCCCCGGCTCCCCCCGCGGGCTGGAGCCCGGCGCCGACCGCGCCTCCCATGGCCTCCGCCCTGGTAAGGAGGGGCTGGGGGGCGCCTCCCCGGAGCTGGTGCCGGGGGCTGCGGCGCCAGGTCCGGGCAGCGCTCGCACCTGGCGGGAGATGGAGGCGGCGTCCGCAGCCCCGTCCTGAGAGCCCCTCGCCCCTCGCCCCGGGGCGTCCACATCCCACTCTCTGCTACTGGGGCCGAGTTCTGGCCAGACCCCGGGCGCTCCTCCCCGCGTCCCCGAGTCCCGGACTGAGCCGGGGCAGCCCCATGGCCCCTAGAATCCTCCGAGGGTCTCCGCGGAGCGCCTGCGTCAGAATCACCTGGCAGCTTTAACAAGTAGCGAAGCCGGGGCCCCGCCTCGCAGCCGCGACTCGGAGCCCGCGGCCGGGGCCCGGGGACGCGCATTCGGATGAGCAGCCCGGGGCGGGGGGCCCCGCGGGCGCGGCCGACGCTGGGAAGCGCCCGCGGCGGGTTTGGCAGGTTTCTGCGCGGCAGGCCGGCGCCTGGCGTCCCTCGGCGGCGGTCCGAGCGTGTGTCCGCAGGCTCCCGCCGGTGTGGCCGCCCCGGGGCTGGGCTCCGGGGGAGCGGACCGCCCTGATCCCGGAACCCCGCGTCCGAGGTCGGCACCTGCAGGCAAAACTTGACAACTTTCCTTCCCAGGAGGACCCCGTTCTGGAGCGATACTTTAAGGGCCACAAAGCTGCGATCACCTCCGTGGACTTCAGTCCCAGCGGCAAACAACTCGGTAAGTGTTTTTCTCTCTTTTTGTGAGGAGGGACATGCCCCACTGGTCGGAAACCGTGTCGCCCGTCCACCCTGGGCCGCGGGAGCACCGCCGGCGACCCGGGCGGAGGTCGACGGCGGCCGGAGACGCGCGCACCTGGGTCGCGTCGGTCCCGCCCCCAGCCCGGCCCCGAGAGCCGCCCGCCGGGCCTGGGCCTGGCCGGCGACTTTCGCGAACTAACCACCAGGAGGAGCGAGTGGGAAGGGGAGGGGTTTGTCCCCGGCCCAGGGAGGGTGGGGTGCTGGCGAGAGAGTTTGTGAAAAGTTGTGAGAAGAGCGGGAGGAAGCGGGGACAGAGGAGCGGGGGCTGTGCCGGAGGCCAAGGACTGAGGTCTCAGGTCACCCCGGGAAGCCCCCCGTGGCTGGAAGGGAGCCGAGCGTCTGCGTCAGAGGAGGGACCCGCTTCGGAGTTCGCCCCTACCTGAGCCTGGGACTCCATCTGCGGGTCCCCAGCCCTTCTCCTGCGTGGTGACTCTGGTGGCCGCGTCGGCGCCCTGGCCGTGAGGATCCGGATGGCCGTGAGGTGGACCTGGGCAGGCAAAAGCTGCCTGTTGCTGGCGCTTTTAACAGTGGCCTATATCCTGGTGGAACTCTCGGTCTCCACTTTCCATGCCTCCCCAGCAGCCGACCTTGCTAGGGAGCAGAGGCCAAAACAGCTTTCAGAACCCTGGGAAAAGGCAGAGGATTTGTCTCGACCGCTCTACAAGAAGCCGCCTGCAGACTCCCATGCGCTGGGGGAGTGGGGCAAAGCCAGCAGACTCCAGCTCAGCGAGGGTGAATTGAAGCAGCAAGAAGAACTTATTGAGAGATATGCCATTAATATTTATCTCAGTGACAGGATTTCCCTTCATCGCCACATAGAGGACAAGAGAATGTATGAGTGTAAATCCAAGAAGTTTAATTATAGGAGACTTCCCACCACCTCTGTTATCATTGCTTTCTATAATGAAGCCTGGTCGACTTTGCTCCGCACCATCCACAGTGTTTTAGAAACTTCTCCTGCAGTCCTTTTGAAGGAGATCATCTTAGTGGATGACTTGAGTGACAGAGTTTATTTGAAGACACAGCTCGAAACTTACATCAGCAATCTTGATAGAGTCCGCCTGATTAGAACAAATAAACGGGAGGGGCTGGTTAGAGCCCGCCTGATTGGGGCCACTTTTGCCACTGGGGATGTCCTCACTTTCCTGGACTGTCACTGTGAGTGTAATTCTGGTTGGTTAGAACCACTTCTGGAAAGAATTAGTAACGATGAGACGGCAATTGTTTGTCCTGTTATAGATACCATTGATTGGAATACTTTTGAATTCTATATGCAGACTGGAGAGCCCATGATTGGTGGATTTGACTGGCGCTTAACCTTCCAGTGGCATTCTGTCCCCAGGCACGAAAGGGACAGACGGAAATCGAGAATTGACCCAATCAGATCGCCCACCATGGCTGGAGGACTGTTTGCTGTCAGCAAGAAATATTTTCAGTACCTTGGAACATATGACACTGGAATGGAAGTGTGGGGAGGTGAAAACCTTGAGCTGTCTTTTAGGGTCTGGCAGTGTGGAGGTAAACTGGAGATCCACCCGTGTTCCCACGTGGGGCATGTATTCCCCAAGCGGGCGCCCTATGCTCGGCCCAATTTCCTACAGAATACCGCTCGGGCAGCAGAAGTGTGGATGGACGAGTACAAAGAGCATTTCTACAATCGAAACCCTCCAGCAAGGAAAGAAGCTTATGGTGATATTTCTGAAAGAAAATTACTACGTGAACGGCTGCAGTGCCAGAGTTTTGACTGGTATTTGAAAAACGTGTTTTCTAATTTACACGTCCCAGAGGATAGGCCAGGTTGGCATGGAGCTATCCGCAGTATGGGTATCTCTTCTGAATGTTTAGATTATAATTCTCCTGACAACAACCCCACAGGTGCTAACCTTTCCCTGTTTGGATGCCATGGTCAAGGAGGCAATCAATTCTTTGAATATACTTCGAACAAAGAAATAAGGTTTAACTCTGTGACAGAGTTATGTGCAGAGGTTCCTGAGCAAAAAAAATATGTAGGAATGCAAAATTGTCCAAAAGATGGGTTCCCTATCCCCGCAAACATTATTTGGCATTTTAAGGAAGACGGAACCATTTTTCATCCACACTCGGGGCTGTGTCTTAGTGCTTTTCGGACACCTGAGGGTCGACCTGATGTTCAAATGAGAACTTGTGATGCTCTAGATAAAAATCAAATCTGGAAGTTTGAGAAATAGAAGAGCACAATGGCACTCTCTTCCTGAGCTTAGAGCTTCAGGAAAGTCAAAGAGCTGGTGAAGAACCTCAGTAAAGGCTGTATTTCATCAGAAATCACCCACTGTTCATCTGCGAGAGCTCTGTGAAAGCTGTGTTTCGTTTGGTACAGAATACTGAAAGTGGATGCATAGAGAGCTGCTGTTTAATCTCTCAAAGTGCCTTACTGATGGGTTGTCTTGTTTAAGGGCTTTGTCAATGTGGTTTCTTCTCCTTAAAGAAGTTGACTGTGAATTGAGATACATAAAACGTTTAAGTGCCAGACTTAATAGTACAGAATGTAAAAGTCCAAGCAGAATGAGTGATGAGTTATGTTGATGGATAAGTTCAATGGCCATCCTTTTAAAAACAAAACTCATAAATATGTGGTTGGAGCTATTGCTATTTTGATTGTATATGGGTTTTGAATTTCTTTTAGCCAATACATTAAATTTTAGGTGTTGTGGGTTTTTTTTTTTTAATTTTAATTTTCCTTGAATCAACTAGAAATCAAAGAAAGTTGATCTTAAGGAAGAAGGTCTGGCATAGATGAATGTTTCATTAGAAGAGGGCATTAGTTTGAAAGTGAGTTTGCAGGTCTTTTTAACATAGAGACATCTCAGAAAAGTATACCCACATCTGAATGAAATGGGGAGATACTTACATTCCACGCTTGGTGAACTGGAGCTATTAGACTTCACTGATTTGTATTGATACCTCATACTGCTCTGATTTTGTAAGCTGTCCTCTCTGTGAACTCTTTTTCGTGTGTGGGATATTTTCTGTTTGCACTTCCTTAAGTTATGAATGTACTGGAGAGGGACTCATTCACAATACTGTGCTTCCCTTTGTTAATGCTTAATCATTTAAAGTAAACACAGTTGTTGGCTCTCTGAAGTTAAACCCAACTGCATTTACTGAAATGTGTGAAACTGAAGGTGGGTCTCATGCTAGAAAGGCTGTGGGATTCTTCTAGGAGTTCTTCCTAATTAGAACATTTAAGGATTTATCTTAAAACAAAGAAAAAGACTGTCTGGGCACTGGTGTATACTGCCTGGCAGCCTGTTTTCAGCACCTAGCACCAAGCCTGGCACTTAGGCAGCTTTCAGTAGTGGGTGGGTGGATGGATGGATGGATGAATGAATGAATGAGTGAATGAGTGAATGAGTGAATGAATGGCTCAGCCATGGAATGTGATTTTCGTCCTGTCCTTTGACCAACTGTTTGGGCCTCAGTTTTCTCATCCGTAAATGTGGGTGCTGGATTTGATCTCAAAGATCCCTTCCAGCTCTGGAATGTTGTGATGACACATTACAGTCACTCTTACAGTCTTTATAACACTTTTTATCTCTTCACTTTTAACACAGATAATGTGATTGAACAACATTCAGTCCAGTTATGAAGCTGAAAATGAGGGACGGTTTTAAAATTAAGTGAGGTGAGGGTCGCCTGGGTGGCTTAGTCAGTTAAGTGCCTGACTCCTGATTTCAGCTCAGATCGTGATCTCGGGGCTCATGGGATTCGAGCCCCATGTCAGTCTTTGCACTAAGTGGGGTGTCTGCTTGAGATTCTCTCTCCCTTTGCCCCTTGTTCCACTCTCCCTTTGTCTCTCTTTCTCTCAAATAAATAAATAAATCCCTAAAAAATAATTCAGTGATCTGAGCTCAACTGAAGTGGTTTGGTTTGGATTGAGTGGGAAGTTGTTGTGGTCAGTGTTTGTATTCATTTTATTTTGGTAATCGTTGAACCAATTTTGTTTTTATCTTTACTCTTCAAACTCTAAAAGTAATCTTTTGGGCTAAGAAGACAAATATTTACTAAAACAAATTATCTGAGAAGTAAGCATATTTTTTTGAAGAAAAAAATATGTTTACTAGTTTTATTCTAGTGCTATATCCAGAAATCACAGGCTGAATTTAGAATTCTGTTAGTTCACTTTAGTCTAGATTTATGGAAAATGCATACTCCATAGAAAATTAGATGACAGTACTCATAAGTAAAGTTGTTTTCGTTGTGTACATGATGACTAGAGAGAAGGAACTTTGCAGAATGTGAATTTAAGAAAAGCTTTTAGGGCAACCATTTCAAAAATTAAAAGTATTATGTATCTCGAACAGCTTATTTCTCCTTTGCTTCTTAAAATGTAAGTGTGTTAATAACTTTCATTAAGTTATTTGGCAACCTTAAAGTTTATCAAAGAAGTGTCCAAATTTCATATGCACTGTATATGGGCATGGGTGTAATTTAAGAAGGAGTTATAAGAATACTCCTAATTTTGCAAAAATGGTTGTTTGACAGCAGTTGTTCTAAACCCACCCTCTCCTCTTGCCCAGTCTACTTTTTAATTTAAATTACCCTTTTTCTTTTTACTTATTTTTTTGTTCTTGTTAGCTCCCTATCAAATGGAAAGACTAAAATTGATGTATTCTGGAAGTACTTACTGGAATTACTTTTGTTCCAGTGTCTTGCTGCTCCTATCAAAAGGCGAAGGGGGCATTGAAAAGCAAAGTACTTAATTGTTTACCTATTGCCTAAATTGTAGGCTGTGACCCATTAATCTTTTTGGAAAGGAATTTTAGGGTAGTGCTTTATTTATATCAATAACTTGAAAGTGTCTGGTTCTTCATTCCTCCTGATAGTGTAGGTAACAGAAGAATGAGACTTTCATATTTTCATCTATAGGCATTTCCAATTTAATTGCAAAAACATACTGTAAAATTATAAACAAAATTTATTTTGATTCTCTAATTCCAGTTTATTGGTACCAAAGCTGTCTTTTGCTGTAGACAATGAAGAGTTGACCTTTTAAGTTATTTAACATACTACTAACAGTTTCAGTGAAATATTTAGTAGACCAGAGGTTTCCATTTTAAATGTTCACTGTCATGTAGTGTCCAATTCTATGAGTAGATTGTCTAAATAGGCATTTCTAGCAGTCATCTTTTAAGCAAATGATAACCTAGTCATCTGCAGGATCTCTGTAACTCAGAATAACTTGTTTGTATGAGAAAATCTGTTTACTCCCCAGGGGTAGGCTCCTGCATATTCATTATATGTTGGCAAATCAAACTTTTCTAGGTTGAAGTCAAGAGGTTATTTCTAAGTTGTAGAGTCTTAGTGGTTTTAGGATCTCAATTTTAATGGATAAAATATTTAGTTTTGACTTGTTTGTCCCTTTAAGTTGCTGTTTTAATTATATTTTTAAATGAGCACAAAGAATATTGAGGTTCAATTAATCTCTTTTGAACAATGAATTTTTTTCCTTTGTGATGAGCAGTTTCCATCCTTTTTTTACCCTTTTGTTAATGGTTTTTGCAGTATTGATCAGACATAAAATAAAATGATTGACTAATTATTTTTGCAAATGGATTCTAATAATTTTAGTCTATGGGATCATTTTTTCTATGTACACATTTGTTGATGGTAACAGAGGTGAGTTAAGTTCATAATAATTTTGCTTGTTTGAAAATACAGATAGAATGTTAAAAAGTCAAAATTTCTGAATTATTTTGCAAGGTGTCGTTAACCAACAAGCATTCTGAAGTGGTGTTAGCACTATTAATGCATGCATTAATTACTCATAAACAAACAGGAAATGATCCGGGAGCTCTGGGACCTATTGGGGGCACTATAAAAGGAAAAAGGTGAGCACCTGGGCACATTAATACCAATTTCAAAACCCTAGGCCAAAAAGAAATATGCCTATTCTATAAACCACATAGCCTCACATTTTCCTTAACCTTCTCTCTGCATCATGCCATCCTAAGTACAATTCCTGTCTACCGGTCATATCTCTCTTCCTCAGTGATTCTGCCTAATGCCCTACACCCTGCCTCTCCTAGCCTGAGACACTGCCTAGGAATCACTATTCTAAGTGAATACTGGGGATTCACTATGCCAAGACGCCAGATGTCTTATAGCCACGTTTAGGATATGTATAGTTGAGCTAAACAAATTTTTACGCACCTTTTGTTTTGTACGTATAGTTTAAAGTGTTACTATAAATATGTATGTTATAATCTTGCTGTCTTACTAAGTGACGGCAACCCTGTGCAAATCATTTTCTCTCTCTTTCAGTTTCATGGAAGTGAGAAAAGACTGGGAAAATCATAGAAACAGTATATAATGTTTGCCAGGGGCTGGGGGAGGGAGAAGTAGAGAATGATTGCTAATGGCAATTCTGTTTTGTTTTGTTTTTTGGGGTTTTTTTGCATGTGTGTGGGCAGGGGAGGGGTGTGATGAGAGTGTTCTGAATTACATAGTGACAATGGTTGTACAGCTTTGGGTAAAACACTGAATTATACACTATCAAAGGGTGAATTTATGGTATTTGAATTATATCTCAATTATTTAAAAAAAAAAATTAGAGGAAAAGAAGAGGCTGGAGAATTTCATGTATCCCAGAAAGGATTTCTGTGTCCCTCTATGCCTATTAGACTTTAAAACAGGCCAGCAGGATTTATTAACACTTGAGTCATTTTGTAATTCAGCAGAATTAAGAAAGCTAATATAAATGTGAATTAGGCTGTGAGTACAAATGAATTTATATTGGAATGTTTTCCTAAAACTTCAGAGAAACCTCAATCAATCCTCTTGAACAGGAAGTAGGGATTATATGTGAAATGAGTTCCTGAATTACATAGTTGTCCATGGCAGAACCGAAGAGTAGACAGTCCTTACAACTTGCTAATAATCAGACGCTACATTTCCTTTTGTGCCAAATTCAATCACTTTCTCAGGCTGACCTGAGAGAGTTGTGTGCTGCAGGCCAGCGGTGTCCTTGGCTCTCTGGTCACCCTTCTAACCCTCTCATTTGCATGTATATAATCTTGTTCAAAGAGGGAAATGGGAGGTACTCTCTTTATTTAGTATTCCTTTATTTAGTTAATGCTACTGGTGCCAGATACTGGCTTCTGCTCTGGGTATACATATAGAGGTTAACAAAACACATGTGCTTTCTCAGGGGGTATGAAGAATTCACAGTCCAATGATAGATACTAAGAAGCACATAAATCATGTGCCAGTACAATGTGAAACAGGAAAAGAGGGGCATGGTATGAAGAAAAGGAAGAGTGCTTTGAGGAAGAACAGTGGTGACATAAGTTTATGGGGTTAAGGGACACTCCTTTGTGGGAGTTAGATTTCACTCAAGACCTGAAGGAGGAGTTAGCCAGGCAAAGGCTGGAGAGAGAATAGCATATGCAAAAACCAAAAGTGGGAAAGAACTTGTCCTTGATCAAGGAAATAGAAGAAGGCCAGAGGCAATTGGCTGGCTCATTCAGAAGAGTGTATGACTCATGGACTCTGGGTTGTGAGTTAAAGCCTGGCATTGGGTGTAGAGTATGTACATATGTACATACATAGATACATACACAAACATTTAAAAAATTTTACTTAAAAAGAATTCCAGAAGGGTAAAGCCGGGTAACAAAGGAAGAGAGCGAGCTTTGGTAGATG